CTTTCCCACTTTAAAACAACCAGCACTCAATCTCAGAGGGACCCCAGGTGGACAGCCCAGGTCTAGAGTTCTATTCAGATTGACCTAGACAGTACAATCACTGCTCAATAGGGAGAGCTCAAGAGGTCTCCAATATCCTGATGGTGGAAATCCACAGACAGTTCCAACCAGCATACAAAATGTGATGGAGCCTGGTCTCCTCTGGTGGACCACCAATTTTGGAAAGGTCACTTGCCACAGTCAGGACAAAGGCATCAGCACCTCCACCCTTGTAAGTCTGAACTGGGCCTCATTTTACCAACCCTTGAAAGTCCAAACCTGGCATGATCGGCCAGCCCTTTATAGTTCAAACTGGGCACCAGCATTTCACCCTTGAAAGTCTAAACTGGGCGTCAGTGGCTCTGCCCTTTAAAGTCCAAACCAGGGATCAGCGCCCAGCCATTGAAAGTCCAAACTGGGCGCCCACCACTCTACCCTTGAAAGTTTAAACCAGGTGCCAGTGGCTGCACCCTTGGAAGTCCAAACCAAGTGCCCGTGGCTGTGCCCTTGGAAGTCCAAACCCAGCACACCCAGCTCCATCCTTGAAATTCTAAACCAGGTGCCAGTGGCTGTGCCCTTCACAGTCCAAATGGGGCACCACAAGCTCCACCCTTGAAATTCCAAACCAGGCACCTCCATCCTTGGAAGTCCAAACCGGGAACCCACAGCTCTGCCCTTAACAGTCTAGACCAGGCACCCCTGGCTCTGCGCTTGAAATTCCAAACCTGGCGCCTCTGCCCTTGGAAGTCCAAACTGGTGTCAGTGGCTCTGCCCTTTAATGTCCAAACGGAGAGTCCATGGCTCTGCTCTTAGAAGTCTGAACAGGGATCAGCCCCACCCCACCCCCCATTAAAGTCCTAACCAGTTGTTAGTGGCTCCACCCCCAAAAGTTCCAATGCGGGTGAGCTCACCTGCCCATGGCAGCCCTAACCTGGCATCAGAGATTCCACCCTTGAAAAGTCCAAAGTGTTGGGGGGAGAGGGGCAATGTCCCTAGTGTTTCTCTTTCCTAAAGTCCCTCTCTTCCCACAACCCCCTGCCTCCACTGAGTCACTGTTTCTGCACTTCTATCCTACAATGCCCAGACATCCTAAGGAATGGCCAAACACTCTGGGTTCTGCAGGGTATAGACCTTCAGACCACAGGGCAAGGGGGGAAGGGTGTGCTGAAAGTTCAGTATTACGGGGAGAGTATTTATTCAGTTTTATGTTGGGCAGGATGATGCCCAGGCTCACTGGTGGGACCTCTCTGGGGGAGAATGCCCAGATTTTGTGACTCTCACCCCCTGGGGTAAAATGAGAGGTCTTTTGTTTCTTGCTTGCTTGCAGAGAGTCTGCAGCCAGCCTCCTGCTCTTTCATCCTCAGGGTGCTGGGCTTTGTACCTGGAATTTGTTCACTAGGATCCTCCTCCTTGGAGTCTCAGGTTGCCACAGTGGAAATGATGTGTACTTGTCTACCTTCTTTCCTATCTCAGCTCCCTTCTTTCAGTTTCAGAGACCAAATCTGTCCAGAATCTGTCCTGGTCAGGACTCTGGCTAAAGTTTCCTCTCTTTGGCCATCTTCTTCCTTATCCAGAAGACAGTTTTAATTTTGATAAAATTTATCATTTTGTTGTGATTTGTAGTATTTGCTTAATTATCTCAGGTCATAACAAGTTTTTTCTAAAAATGACACGAATGTAAACAAGATATGCATGTTACTAGTTCTCATTTTTTTCCTGGGTTTTCTTTTCTTTTTTTTTTTATTAAATGATAACTGTGTTCAACAATGCAATCATGGAGTACAGTGTGATATTTTGATATACAATTTGAGATATTTTCATCAAACTGGTTAACATAGCCTTCATGTCATTTTCTTAGTTGTTATGTCAAGACATCTATATTCTACTTTTAGAAAGATTCACTTGTACCCTTGTAAGATAAACCATAGAGGTGATCCCTCCAATCACCCTCCCTCCACCCGTCCAGCCCCACCCCTCCCCTTCGGCTCCCCCTCCCCCTCCCCAAATTCTTAGGCTACAATTATAAAATTAGTTTCATAGTAGAGCTGTGTACATTGGATACTTTTTCTTCCAATCTTGAGATACTTTGCTAAGAAGAACATTTTCCAGCTCCATCCACGTAAACATGAAGGATGTAAAGTCTCCATCTTTCTTTAGGGCTGCATAATATTCCATGGTGTACATATACCACAATTTATTGATCCATTCGTGGATCAGTGGGCACTTGGGCTTCTTCCATGACCTGGCAATTATGAATTGGGCTGCAATAAACATTCTGATACAAATATCTTTGTTGTAATGTGATTTGTGGTCTTGTGGATATATACCTAATAAAGGAATTGCAGGATCAAATGGCAGGTCTATTTTTAGTTCTCTAAGTGTTCTCCAAACATCTTTCCAAAAGGAACGCATTAGTTTGCATTCCCACCAGCAGTATAGAAGTGTTCCCTTTTCTCCACATCCATGCCAGCATCTCTGGTTTTGGGATTTTGTGATATGGGCTAAGCTTACTGGAGTTAGGTGATATCTCTAAGTAGTTTTGATTTGCATTTCTCTGATGATTAAGGATGGAGAGCATTTTTTCATGTATCTGTACACTGTGCGCCTATCCTCTCCAGAGAAATTTCTTTTCAAGTCCCTTCCCCACCCTGAGATGGGATCACTTGTTCTTTTCTTGCTAATACGTTTGAGTTCTCTATGGATTCTGGTTATCAAACCCCTGTCAGAGACATAACCTAGAAATATCTTCTCCCATTTTGAGGGCTGTCTGCTTGCTTTACTTACTGTGTTCTTGGCTGTGCAGAAGCTTTTTAGTTTGATCAGGTCCCAGTAGTGTATTTTTGATGTTGCTTCAATTGCCCAGGGGGTCTTCCTCATAAAATTTTCACCCAAACCAATTTTTCCTGGGTTTTCTTATTATTTTATAGCTTAAGCTCTTATTTTAGGCCTCTGATCCATTCAAGCTAATTTTTTATAGGCAAAATCAAGGTTCATTTCTTTTCATATGAATTGTGTAGTACCATTTGTTGAAACTTCTATGCTTTCCTCATTGAATTATCTTAATACTTTCATTGAAAATCAATTGATTTGGGTGGTTCCTGTGGCTCAATGGGTAGGGCACTGGCCCCATATACTGAAGGTGCCAGGTTTGAACCCAGCGCTGGCCAAACTGCAACAAAAAAATAGCCAGGCATTGTGGTGGGCGCCTGTAGTCCCAGGTACTCAGGAGGCTGAGGCAGGAGAATCACCTAAGCCCAGGAGTTGGAGGTTGCCATGAGCTGTGATGCCACAGCACTCTACTGAGGGTGATAAAGTAAAACTCTGTCCCTAAGAAAAAAAAAAGAAAGAAAGAAAATCAATTGACTATATATGTAGCTTATACCATCTTATATCAAAGACCTTTCTCAGCTCCACTTAACCCATTTAATTAAAAATGGGTTACTTCCACCTCTTTACAACCATTCTCTAAAGACTGGCCTAAACTCAATGTTTGTGTTTTCCTCACATCTTACTCCTTCCACTGGCATCTTTCTGTATCATTCCATTAAAACAGTTCTTGCCAGAATCACCAGTAATCTCTATTCTAACATTAAGTGGGACACAGTTTTGTTCTTGTCTCATATGTCTCTCAGTGGCCTTGGACCTTATTTATCCCTCCTTCTCTTTCAGATGCTCTCTTCCCTTAACTAAAGTAGAACCCCACCATTCTTATTTTTCTTCTGTTTTTCTGTTTGCCCCCATGTGTCTATTTTGCTAGTTCTTCTTTTACCTATTTCTTAAATATCACTATCTCTAAAGATCTGACCAAAGCCCTTTTTTCTTCTCATTCTATGCATATTTTTGCTTATTTCTAACTATTGCCCTGGCTGAAGAATCTCAGACTCGAATCTTTAGAAACTCATGTCTACATGTTTAACTTCCTACCAGGACCGTAGCTCTATGAAGAAAAAGTATCTTTTATATATATTTATACATATCTTGTTCACGTTTATCTTCACATGCTTAGCACATAAAACTTAATAATTATTTATGGGCTTAATGAAAAAATGAATCCATGAACAAACTAATGAAACCATGCAGTTGATGTTCCATCACATCATAATTCTAACATAATTTTTTAACATCAGTCCTTTTACAGATGCCACATATGTGTTCCTCTGGGGGAACAAGAGAAATAAATTACTTTTAGAATCACATCCTTTGTCTTCGCCATGGCTGAGTTTTCCTATTACAGTTGGTAGTGAATCTTAGGATAAAGAGATGACAATAAGATTTTGGACAGAAGCAAAATGGAGATGAGAAAGCAAGGAAACATTTCTCCGAATGTTGCAAACACTGTTCCTAAGGTTTTCTAATTCAATAATGTCTTTCAGGAATTACCTATATTATTAAGGGAATAAAGTATTTAGTGGCTCTACTATTAAACTCTGATGTAGCTTTAGTTATAATACACCATTTGTCTTTGAATTTCCACAAAAGTTTTTAAAAGTTCCTGTAGCATTTTTAACCCTAAAGTGATTCTTGAAAGTTATATAGGAAGATGTAGATTGGTTAATGTAGATTCTTTTGGATCTAATATGATGAAGATTTTTATGAGGATCTGAGTGCTCAGGTAAAAAAAAAAAAGTATATGCCTGTTATGAGTTGGCATCACGTGAGGTGCTTTGGGGCTTTGAGGGAAGAATATGAGATACAGTCCTCATTACCGCCTTCAGGTAGCACATACCTTCAGTGAGATAAGACATACAGTTGCAACCAGCAAGTAAATAGTAACACCTATTACACCATTTATAGTATCATTTGCATGTTTGCATGTTTCTTGGCAGGAAAAAATAGGGCAACCTGCCACTAGACATGTGTATTTGGTCTTGTCACCACAAGCTGTAAGTGGTAAGTATTTCTCTATAGGTGCTCTTTCTATTTGCACTTCCTCACATTTCTCTTTCTTCCCTGCATTTCAGTGAGCGGTTTCTTGTGAGACTAAACAAGAATGGTGGACCACGGAACCCAGAGAAGATAGAACGAATGTGTGCCCTTTTTACAGTATGTGTAAATTCTCTTTCCTCCCTTTGCTATGGACTTTAACCAGGGACCTGCTATGTAGCTATGATCCTGGAAACAAGCATTTTGTTGTCATTTCTGCACACACTGGGGAGAATAGGACTTGATTCATGTTTCTATTGAGTTTTAATGAAATATTTATAGGAAACTGGAATTAGCTACAGTTTTAAACTGAATTTTTATTGAAGAAATATAATCAAGTACCCTTTACTGATATAGATTTTATAAGCTGTTTCATATAATTAACACTTAAAATCTAATAAAAGTCTTTCTTACTATTATTATCCAAGGCCACTGAGAATTTCTCTCATGTGTAAATATAATTTCCTTTAAAGGCATCCACAAAATTTACAGCTTCGATGTTGGTGAGTTCACATACTGTGAGACTAACTTAGTCCTCTTCCAAATACCAGTTGGAAGATCTTTTCCTCCTATGATCTGAATTTAGTTTTTACTGAATAACCAGACTCTTGTTCATGGTCTTTGAAATCATAAACACATCAACTCAGAGAAGGTTTGGGAATATGCTTATGAGAAAATACTAAACTTTATAGTGCCACATAGCCTTATATATTCTTCAGGTTGATTTTCATTTACTTATTTGTTTTTACCCAGTTAAAAAACCTAATTATCCAAGTTTATTTATTTGAGTTAATTTATTTGCTCAAGAAAAAAACAAGACTGTGTCACAATTTTAAATCAGTTTTGACTATTATGGATTATTTGATTTGTTTCATTGATACTGAGATATGTCAAAACCTATTGTGTCTGCAAAGATGTGATAATCTCACAGTGTCACTGACCTTGCCATGTGGTACATGATTGATTGTGGCAATCAGATATCTTAAACTTTATGGTATACCTCTTAAATGCAAATATGATTTATCTGGAGATCTGATATGTAACTTTCTATGAAAGATTAAATTTCATTTGTGTATCTCACTTTTTACTTCATTTACTACAAATTTACCTTTTAAAACATCAAATGATGTTATTATTGCAGAATCAGAACCCACTTTCACAGGGATAGCTTTTATTGAAAATGTTGCAGATGTACAGAAAAATGTATGAATCTGGTTAAGCCAAAATAATGTTTTATTCATCTTTGAGCTTAGCATTCAAGTCCTAGAGATAATGCAAGAAGAAAGAACTGGAAAAGCAGATCCAGGAAGATGGTTAAGGGAGTTGAGTTGGTTTAATCTGGAAAGATCAATGTTCTCTCTTGAACCCCAACCCTAACCCTAACCCTAAACCTAACCCTAAGGAATAGAATTCAAAGTGTAGTTAATGAGATTTAGGTTAAACTATTGGATGAGAGCTTCTGACGTGAATTCCTGAATACTTAAGGTGGTTTCATGGGAACTCCTTTCTAAAACAGAATTTAAAAGATATGACACTCATTGTCTAGAATGTCTCAGTACACTTAGGAGGTTTTTCTAGATCCTGATTCTCTGATAGTATCTGGTAAAGCAGCAGCAGAATTTGTTGATGTTCTTTGGATTTCTGGGATTAAAGCTGTGTGTGTTATCCTTGAATCCTTGAATATGATGAGTATAGTTCTTGTCTCTTGAAAGATAAACTTAATTATGATGGTATTTGAATGTAATTACAATACATCAACAATTTCACTTAGCTTTTTAATTATCCATATAGACTCAGAGGCCAAAGCTATAGCTGCAAATTTATAAATCAAAGATGGACATAACATTCAGAATGTGTTCTTCTTCTGGATAATGGGAAAACCCAAGACTGCTACATAAACTATTTCCATAATTCCCTTTGCAGTCCAGGACTGGAGTTTTGTTTTTTATTTTTTTAAAGGTCCCAAACATGATTTGAAGAATTTTTACAAAGCACAAGAGATTTCTGAATAAGATTATCTTAGCAAGGATTGTTATTTTTACTTTAAGCTATGTAAAATAAATAACTTTGGTGGAACCTGTTTTCTCATTTTCTAAGACATGAGTTCCTCCTATGAGAAAAGCATTTCCTAGGTTGGCATATATGCTACAAAGTATCAGAGTAAATACAGAAAAATGTATCCACAACTATGGTTGATGTTGTTAGTTTACCTAACTTAGACTAGAGAAAAGAAGACCATACAAACAGCAGATTACAGGATTACTCAGCTGACTTCAGAGCCACATGACAGTCACATTATTTATGGTTTCTCTTTGAAGCCTTATTTTTTTCTGACCTTAATGGTTTTAGGGTTTCCTGTAAAGAAAGAATTTTATGCAAGAAGGAGCAATTTTATACTTACATGACTGACAATGTAATAAGGAATTCTGCTAATTTTCATGATAACAGTGGCTGTATATACAGATATGTGAGAATTCATCTATGTGTATTCACTCATTACTAGATATCCAGTGCCTCACAAAGAGCGCTTGGCAAATACTAAGGTCTCAATAATGATTTGTTATATAAATAAATGAATATATACTTATTTTCTGTTATAGTCAAGTGACCGACTCAGCGAATGAATTTGTGCTGTTATCCCTGCTTTAGTTGACATTATATTTTATACATTTATTGATATTATTCTACATACCAAAATAGGATTTTAAGTGAATATTTCTTAGAGTTCAGAATTGAACTTGATTATTACTGAAATAATATTGTGTATTTAAATATTACTTCTTTTTCTCTAACTTAAGTCTGAATAAATTGGTTTTACTTTATGTCTGTAAATCCTATTATCTTTATAGAAAAAGAGTAGCCCAGGAACAATAGTTAACTTTTCTGTATTTCAAATGGAACATCAGTAGCTGAATCTAAGATATCCTCAATTTCCTCTCCTCCCTGCAATGTAGTTGAGGACCAGCTTTCTTATTATGTATGATTAGAGTTTGGTCCAATGAGCAAATCTAATTTCTATTGTGCAGTCAGAATTCAAACCCTGCTCACCAGATGAATGGTGGGTACATTATCCCTCTTCTTTTCTCCTCATGTAAGTTGTGTGAGTAATTTGACAAGGATAGCCACACTTGGTACTTAGCCTTGAGTGTATTTTTAATAAACCCTACAGTAACTGTGTTTAGCCATAGACTTAACATTTAATAAGATAGCTTTTATGTTTAAAAATGGGGAACTCACAAATAATAATTTTACTTAAAATATTTTGTTGCATTAATTATTATCTTCTTTTTATTGACCTCAAATGAATATCAATAAGAGTTCTGGGTAACATGTACAAAATGGTCAGAAAAGCCCCTATCAGCTACTTGGAAAATACCACAAATTATACTTTAGACTCCTTCCTTTTATTCATTCAGCCAGAGCCAACGGAGAAGTTCAGTGTTACTTTATACCACCCATTTGATTAGTGTTTGGTCATCTTTGGTAACTGGCTTGACTTCTCTAGGTGTACTGGAGTTGATAGTTATCTTAGTCTTTCAGTAGTTTAGGTCAGCAATCTAGGCTGTATGGAAGGAACTATTTTACTTTGAAATGTGTCAAACATTTCTGTGTCCTTAGTAATAGACATGTTTCAATCCCAAAATGTTTTTCAATTTCCATTTGTTATTTAGCACCCATCTTAATACATGTTAAAATACAGTGCTATTGTGTGGCGCCTGTGGCTCAGAGGAGTAGGGTGCCAGACTCATATACCAGAGGTGGTGGGTTCAAACCTGGCCCCAGCCAAAACCTGCAAAATACAGTGCTATTTTGAGAATATGAAGTTCCATTTTAAACCAAGGAACCATTTAGTGAAATGAAGCCTAAAACATCGTTTTTCAATGTCAAAAAACAACTTTCATATAAATATCTTGTGATTCCAGAGCTACCAATTTTATGTGAAATTATTTTGTAACCTATTTCATTATAGGCATATTTTATTATTTTAAGAACTTGGCAAAATTTTATAACCATCTAGAATCTAAAAGTTTTTGTTTCACCATTACGCATTACTTTTTAATGTCTCCTTTTCTTTCATATGTTCAGAACCATCCAACAGACCAAGGTTGAGATGAGGGTAAGGCAAGTAAAACAGGACCTTGAGAGTGCACGCCTTCTTAAATGTTGCACCCCAGGTGCCTTACTTTCCTCACCTTAGTGCTGACCCTACAACAAGGCAAAAAAGAAATTAAGAAACATAGGAACTTTGAATTTCAAAGCTCACTCCAGGTTGTGACTACCACTTGATTGTCCTCGCTCCTTTTCTTTTCTTTTCTTTTCTTTTTTTTTTTTTTCTTTATTGAATAGACAAACATCTGGGATTAGTCAAAAGATGAAAGAGGGAAAGTAAGTAAAACTAAGGTAACCTTTTCTAGAAGCTAAAGGAAAATCATGGGAGCAGTCCTATTAAGGATGATGGATACTCTATCAGTTATCACTATGAATCACAATAATAGCTGGGAATGAGCAGCAAGTTGATGACCTGGTTAAAAACATAAAACAATGTATATTAAAGAATTTCTGTTACTTAAAATACAGTGCATAAAGTATAAATGCATATTCATAAGCACTTAGTTCAATGTGGGTTCTAAATATAAATACTTAATGTATAAGAATGATTTTCATAACTTTCATTTAGAAAGTTTCTGATTCTAAATCAAGAATTGTTTACTTAAAAGAAGCCCTTAAAGTTTTCTAATAGAATTATTTTCAGCCTTATAAGTTAGTACAAATAATAAATATCAGAATTCAGAAATGGGTATCAAATTATTGATGTTTCACTAAAACCAAATTAATCTTTTCAAGGAAATGTACCTACTGTGTAATAATCAGTTGTAAACAATGGAGTCAATGTTAAATTAAAGAATATGCCAGGAGTTTGAGACCAGCCAGGGAAACAAAGAAAGATCCCATCTCTACAAAAAAATTTTAAAAATTACCCAGGCATAGTGGTGCACACCTATAATCCCAGCTACTCTGGAGGCTGAGGCAGGAGGATTGCTTGAGCCCAGGAGTATGAGGTTGCAATGAGCTATAATGCCATTGCACTCTAGCCCAGGCAACAGAGTAAGACCCTGTCTCAAAAAGACAAACAAAAAATTACAGAATAAACTTTTAGAATTTCAGTCACTAATGAGATTTGTTTGTGTTTTGCATATTTTTCTACATTGAATATTTACTCCTTTTGTTACAAAATGTTTTTACATGATGGTAAAATGAACATAGGATAAGGCAATCATGAAGACTTATATGAGAACTTTTGTAGATGTCTGATTTGTTAGATGGTTAAAATGAGATCTGGGAAAGTATTGTCAATAAAATAAATTTCCAAAGGCATATAAGACATCCAAATTCACTGCAGGAATCTTATAAACATTAAACTGCTGTGTGCTGTAATCTTCCTTCCCTTGCCTATTACATATACTGAAACCCAACCACTAAAGTAGTGTTTTTCAACCTTTTT